GGTATCGCGCAATGGAAATGAGTTCGACTAACAGTCGTCTCTTTACGAACGTTTGTGAATTTGAAGCGCACATCGAATAAATATAGGCGTCGATACTTCGGGGGACACGACGAATGACGCCGCGTCTTTCCGTCAGAATGTCGAGACGATTTACGAAATCTCTTTTTACGTAACGAAAGCTTCCGAAGCAGAAGACGCCGGTCACATCTCGAACTGCGATGACGGATAGGAAAAAGTGAGAGCGCTCGGATCGACGTACCGGAATAACTAGAATAATTGGCAGCCGGTACACGACTAACCATCAACGCGACTCCACACTTTGCAATACGATGTTTCAAGGTTAAATCCATATTGCGAACCCTACATGCTGATTATTCAATTGACCTCAGTTCCTTTAACTTTCTCAATTGATAATGAAAAGGCAGCGATTCTTACATCAATTTCTATTGCATGAATGAGATTAATTTATATTTGTCTATACTATTACTTGTGAATACCTGATACTTTCGTTGATTTAAAATATCTGTATCTATTACTCATGATGATATATCAACGTTGTTAAATTAATGATGATGACTAAAAAGCTATATTTATCGAATAGATGAAGTATAAATAAAAATGTTTATTAAAAAACTAATATATATGTACATATTTTTAAATCAAATATATAATGTATGCGCGTGCATATGCATGTTTAAATTATTATCATAATATTTGATTTAGAAAAAATAATATTAAAAATTTAAATAAAGTTGAAACGAAAAAAAGAATAGCTTTCAAAATTTTTATAACATTTTTATAAATAAAATAGAAATATATATTATATAAATGTAAATAAAATATACAAAAAATATAAATAAATATCTTATATAGTTGAAAATCGAATGTGAAATTAAAAAAATGAAATATATCAATGAATGTGATAGAGATCACCATATATATATAAGATTTTACCATTAACATAAATTCGATAAAATATAGTTAAAATAAATACCAAATTAAATATAAATAAAATAGATTTACGTATAAATATTAAGTCTAGCTCACATTAAATTTGATAAAAATCATATTAATCTCTTTTCCTCTTACAAATATCCAGATAATATACTTCCTAGGGAACCAATTTCCATTTTAAAACATTACGAATGAAAAATATTCATACATAAATCGATCCTCCTATCTCTTCTATTCTCAATAATGCTTTAATATCAAAATTATGAAACCCGTTAAAATGAAGGATTTCGGATTCGATAGTGAAATTATTATTTGTGAAAATATCATTTCGAAAAATAGTATAATTTGTAAAATAACGGTATTCAAGAAATTAAAAACTTCTTCTTTAAAATTAATCAAAAACTTTCACTAAGTGTTCGTTAAATGAACATTATTTACAAACATCGATTAATTATTTTCATAATAAGCAAAAATTTCAATAAAATCTTCACGATATATCGGTTTAACACTGTTCAAATAACCACATCTGGAAAAGAGACTGATTCAAAGATCAACTTCACGATAAATATTAATCGCGATACGTACATAAAATCCGCTTTGCTCTCGTTCAAAAAACGGAAGTTCTTATCGCTCATCGATTTTTATCGGATCACGACCGAGTTGATAAACGGAAGGGGAGAAAAAAAAAAAAAGAAAAAGAAAAAGAATATACTTCCACGAAGGGTAGGCTCGATTCGAACTAAATGATGAAAAATAGAAGCGTGAAAAGACGAATGTATTTCGCAGAAGATTTTCATTTAATTTATGCGCTCGTGGCGCATATACATGAACCAGTTACAATATATAATTCGACCACGTGCCGCGTGTGATTTATCTTTATCAAATAGGGAACACCTGTATCCACTCTGCGTGCTTCATTGAATTTACACGTTGTTTTCCTGCAATAATGTTACACTTTATTCCGTGGATAAGTCACAATCGAGATTCTTTTAATTGAAAAGAATATAAGTCAATCGATTAGATAAATCTTTTTTTTTTAATCCGTTATTGGTTACAAAATATTTATATTGTTTCAAACGATATCAGCTAAAATGCTTGATCGAGATGATTTTAATTATAATATTCATGAATACTTTTAAAGAGATATGATTAAAATAAAAAATGTTGAAAAATATTATTGTAAAAAATTGGTAATACAAATTGTAAAGAATTTATATCCTGATTATTGAAAAACTGAAAGGATTCGTAATTAGGAAGAGTATGATTGTATTAATGAAATAAAAAAATTAGTGATTAAAAATATAATATGGAGGTATTTGGAAATTTAATTATTTGATGTTTGTTTTTATTCGATTGTCTTTACGAATCAATAAATAAGAAGAAAGAAATTATATTGGAACAATTAAATTAATTTCATCAAATTGAAAGGCTATTATTAAAAAGCTAATTTAAGAGATAAGGTTTCGAGATAATTACATTTGAATTATCTTCCATTTCTTATGAGTTCTGAATTAATAAATTACATTTTTAAGAAATGCAAAAAAGGAACTTTTTAAATATTTACTTACAATGGAACATTCTCTTTAAAGATGATAAACGATTTTATAATATTATTGTAACTCCTAAAAATTATTGCCACAACGAATAATATGTAATTAAAATTTTTAATTATTTTACTCTAATGTAAATATTCGATTATTCGCTTGATTAATTATTCTCATTTAATTACCGATATATATTTTAATTTATTATTGTGATGATGTTTAATATTTGATACATCGTAATAGGTTGTATATCGAGCTTGTGTATTAATAATTGAAAACAGGTAAACTGATCTATGGAAGAGAGAATTTGATAAAATAAACAAAAAGAATGTATATAATATATCAAAATATATATTACGAGACAAATAAATCTTTTTCCATATTTTATAAATTATTGTTATGTATTAATTGAATAAAATTTTATTAAATAAAGAATAATAATACAAAGGAGAGCTTTTCATCAAATATTCTACCT